AGGCTGGCCAGTGGTTTGGTTTCGTTTCCTTGCGTTGTTTAAAAGATGTGTAGCTGTGGTGCTCAGGTACGTGGTTTAGTGGTGGACTGGACAGTGTTAGGTTAACGGTTGGACTCGATCTTAAAGGTCTTTTCCAGCTTAAATGATTTTATGATTCTATGATTCTAAATCCCAAATTAACCACTCTGGTATTTTGCAGAGGACCAACATGAGGCTAAGTGAGATCACTGGCCTGAGTTCACACCTTTCCTTGCTGCCAACAGTGACCGCTTTTGGTCCCTCACAGCAGAATATGGAACCAAACCTTCTCGCTCCCTTCCAAATACAGATAAGAAATAGCATCCGATCGGTCCGTGTTACACTTTGCTACCTCATCAGCCTCATCAGAAATGGTTTTATAACTGATTAAAATTGCAAACCCAAAAGGTTTAAAGTGCCTTTCTTTTTACTCCTATCAGTACTTCACTGGTTCCCTCAGTCTCCTGTAGCAGCAGCAAGTTTTTAGCCTATTTGCTACTGCTAACCTCCCATTTTCCCTTTTTCCATACATACTGATTTAGTTAGCTTTTGTCATAGGTTTTACATCTCCTTTTGGCTGAAGTATTTTTCCTTGACCGTTTCCCAGCACATTTACGAATTTTTGAAATTGTGTCTTTTTTGGCATCCAATTGGGATGTACTGAACTATTCCTTTTTTTGATGACTATCCCACTATAAATACAGGTTTCCAGTCCACTATTGCTTTAGGCTTTAGAAAAAATGTCATTTAAAAGTTTGAAGTGACTTTTACTGATGGGTGTCATATTCTACTTAAGCAAAGCCAGTTTATCATGGTGCCTAAGCAGCAGCTAATATTTAGGTCACCAGTTTACTCTCCTTGGTCCATCACAAGGTCTCCCACTGGATTCCTTTCTGCAGGGTGCAGAGCAAGGAGCCCCTTCATGTTAGAAACCCTGGGAAGTTTTCAGGTGAGATGCTCAGCCAACAGCACCTCGTTGAAATCACCCATGCAATCTCTCTTGTAGTGCGTTCCAGATACTTACTTAAAAGATTTTTCGTTATGTTTTACGAAACAGAGATGTTCAAAGAGCAGTTCATCCCCCTTTATGGGAAGATACAGGAATGGATCAAATGTACAAGTCCCTTGCCTTTCATTTTACTGGTTAGGGCTCTAATGCTGAGCTGTATCGTACCCTTTATTTCTGGTTTTCAGGAGAAAAATAGCATTAGCAGCGGCCTGAGCCCTGCAGGCTCCTCCTCGTCCTGCTTTGCCTCCTGCTAGAGCGGAGGGACAAGGAAGGCCTGACCTTAGCGCAGGACACCCAGGGCCGCAGCCGCCCGGGACGGAGCCGGCTGCTCGGGCCCCTTTATTTCCAACAAAATATGCTTCAGCAGCCAAGAGAGGGCGCTCCTGAAATTAATAAAAGAAAAGGGAAAAAAGGGAGAAAAAACAGGAAAAAAAAAACAAACCAGCAAAAAGAGAAAAACTGAGCATGCTTTCTTAAAAAGGAATTTTCTCATCTGCACCAAAGTGAAAGGTTAAATGCACCAAGTTAAAACACCGAGGTGTTTTTCAACCATAGGATGGGGGCTAGGGACGCCCCTGGGGCAAGGAGCAGAGCTGTTGGCTGAACGTTTGGGACATGTGGGTCCGTGGTGGGCCCAGCTGCTGCCCCATCGCTGCTATTCCTACCGCCCCGGCTGGTGTTTCACTTGGGCGCTCGCCCGGCACAACCCCTCGGTCCTGGTTTTGCTCAGTGCCTCGAGACGCTGCTGCATTGGACATCGATAACAAACCCTCACCCAGCACCCGGGGCCGCCCACGGCGGGGTTTGTGGTCCAGTGATGGCTTTTCCCCATGAAACCAATAGCTCGGCCAGTCCCCAGCGTAGGGAAACTGTGAGGGGCTGGCGCTGAATAATGCCCGAAACAAGCCCGTCTCTCTGTAACAGCCATGTAAAACTTTTTAAAAGGCCTTTAAGTTCTGCCAGTACCTGTGATGGCTGCCAAGTTTTATTTTTGTCAGCCAATTTGGGAAATTTGTTAAACCTGTGACCAGGATCAGGGAAGCGAGCCCAAAAAGCAATCAAAAGCACGTAATAAATAATAATTAATATCAGTGTGTGGTGCTTACTCAGTACTTTTTTCTTTCAAGGATCTTTTAGCTAGTTAGCAAAAACATGTTCCACATTATGGTGGTCTCTCCTACAGCGGGTATTTATCATCCTCCGGTTACACACGGCAAACTGAGGAAAACAGCGTTCCTGTAGTCTGCTGGAGGAGCCCAACATACGTCCCTCCCCGCGATCCATCGCGCCTGAACGTGAAGAGACACATGAACCATGCTCCTGAATGTGCACTTTGGGAAACGCTGTGTCCCTGAACACGTACAAAAAAGAGATGAGGAAAACCCCAGATGATAGACACCTCCCTTCCCCTTGCCCCTTCACTGTTAGGTAGTATTAGCTTATTTATCAGCAGAAAATCTTAAGGCACCAGTACTTCAATTTTAATGGTTTTTCTCACCTGCAGAACTGCCTGGAGTGGTTCATGTTGGGACCTGCTTTAATATTGCCTTTCTCTGGGTCATAGATGGTGGTTGCTCGTGCATAAGCTCCTCCAAGAATAAAGATGAACCCATTGAGAGTGACTGCAGGAGCGTATTTGTTATCTGTCAATGGAAAGCAACACTGAGATCAGTTTTAGGCTCAAGTTTGGAGACTCTCTTCTTATTTATACATTCCCTTTATTCATAGAAAAGTCACGTTTCTCTAAACCTCCAAGGCTAGGTTTTTAGAAAAATGAGGAAACCTTTCCTGGTTTTGTTCTCCTCTCTCCAAGTTCTCAAAGGCACTTTTAAAGTTCATCAGTCCTTCATCCCCCAGTACGCGCCTCCCTCTAAACTGGTGAAGTACAATTATCCTCTCCCGAAGCCTAATGGAGTCACTGTGAAAGCTCCACTCTTACATATGAAATTAAGATGTCAAGTTGTTTCAGAAGTTTGAATTGCTACAAATTTTAACTCAGGTGCTTCTCATGCCTGTGCAGCAGCTAAGTACAGAAGAAACCCACAGCGCAGAGACCCGCTTAATAATATCCAATCGTTGATTCTCTTTTGTATTCTGCTTTTGCTTGTGGGAAGGTCACCCACAAAATCCAGAAGATTTTCTGAGACCTGATTTTTTTTTTCCCCTTTCATCTGTCTCGTAAATTCACCTGCATTTTTATTTTCAGATGTGTGTGTACCTCCAAGCAGTCCTGTAATTTGGCAATGAACTGTGTGAGGCTGGAGTTTGAAATTAAGCAAGTCCCTTATCCTAAGTCAAGTTCAATCAGAGTTTCCAAGGATGTTTTAAAATTCTTGTGTTAGCTGCAGCATTATTAGAAATATTGGTAAAACTAACCATAAATTATTGAATAAAATAATTCTAATTTAATTAGTTGAGTTGTCCCGTATGCTGCTAGCACGCCATATGCGCATTATTAAATATGAGCCAGTTGGGCTGAAATTTCTCATGATGGTGTCTGTCTTGATGTGATACAGGGTTTTTTTAATCAACATTTCAGTGAAACCAATCAGCAGTGTCTGGGAACAAAAGACGGGAAAATACATTGCTTTATTTGAGTTAAAATAAGCCTCACAACCAGTTCTCTAAGAAGCAAGAGCCTAAGCCCTTTGGGGCATGAAGCAGACGTTTCCTGGGTGGCTATCCTGGTGTGGGGGGACACTTCTATAAAAATTATCCATATGTAGCTATATGTTAAAGCCTCTCCAAAATCTGCATTTTTTATATGCTCGGAAAAGGGTGATCTTCTTGCATCTGCAGTGGAGAATCAGGCTGGACACAGTCCCGCCAGCTTCAGCCCCTGCGACCCTCCTCCCGAGTGCGGGGAGCCAGGGGCAGTGCGCTGGAGAGGAGGTGCGATACCATCTTTACTGTGCTCTTACATCTCTGATAACGGCCCCTACGTAATGTTGAAGGGATCTATATGTTCCTCCCAGATCTATAACTCTATGACTGTGTCCTTTTACGAACACAGAAAGACATGGGCTTAAACCAGCCCTGGCAGCTTTACTTTTGGCATTTGCTTACCTCTCGCACGGCTGGCGTTGTAACCCTGAGGTTCTTGTAAAACCACCTTATTCCATTAAATATTTAACAAGAGATTTAATTTGACAGGAGTTAACGAAAAGCTGATTAATTTCTCCAGAAGAGAGATAATTTCCTTAACTGAGGTTTGAACTGGTTAAACTAGAAGGAAAATAATGGGTTTGTGGTGTCTGCTTCTGTTCCAGCATGGCCATGGGGTGGGCTGGCTCAGCTCATCCCACCCTGCGTCGGTGCATGCCCAGCGGGACGTACGGGGCTGCAGCTCTCAGTGTGAAAACAGACAAAACATGGTATGGGTTAAAGTTGGGCTCCTATTATGCTGAATATCTACAGGCATATGTCAAAAAACCACGGATGTATTAGGAAAATGTCACTGATCCTTGGGAACAGATGGGAAGAAACTAATTCATCCAGAAAATAGAACAAGGAGTATTCAGTTTCTTCTCAGTGCCACTAAGCCACTATAATTCATCAGGAAGACTTATCTGTCCTAACAACCCGTCTCGCATCCCTTTCCAAATCAGACTTGCATACATGACATTTTTTCCAGTTAAGACACTCATCAGAAATTTTCCATATTTAATTATCACATCTTCCTGTTTTTTTTTTTTTCCTTTGACTAGCACTATTTTGCAGGAGAATGAAACTCACACACACAAAAAAAAGAACTCGGCTCCCAAATCTCACAGGGAAATTATCTGGGGCTCCCTCAAGGCAAAAACAGCGACTTCTCAGGAGACTGAATCAGTGACTTCACATTCCTTTTTGTTAAAGAAAGAGAGGGAAACCCCTTGGTTATTTTTATAGTGACTTTTTTTTTTCTTTTCAAATAGGCAGACAGTCTGGTATTCTTTTTCTTTCTTTTTTTAAGAGGCAGTCGTGTTTGATTCTCATCAATTTTTCAATACATCACCTATCTGTTGTCTTTTTACTGCTTTTGGCTTTAGCTACAATTTCATAAATTGGTATAAAGTAAGCCTGAGATGGAGAAACAGAGAAATCTCTGCTGTTTCTTTCAGGAAGGGAGACGTTCACAGCAAACAGTCTCTTGATTCTGATGAAGATATGGCAGAAAGACCCAAGGGACACCCCTTCAGAGGCAGGTATAGAGAAAACTGTGAGTTTTATTTTTGTTTTGTTACCATGGAGGCAGAAATTGTTCACGGATACAGGGAGCTTGGAAAGCTCAAGCCATCAGTCCTGCTGCCCAGGTGTGGATGACCACCTTCAGTCTTTAACCTTACTTCATCCCAGGTGCTACCCACACTCTTCCTTTGTTGTTGTCCTTTCCAGGGCTTGGTAACCTCATGCAAACACTCAGGAGACTTCAGCTTCTGTCGCTGCTCTAAGTCCTTAACATGCTCATAGTGCAAGGTGGGTGGTTGGGGAGCCTAATTTTGCAAAAGCGTTTTCTGGTTGGGCTTTTGGTCAGTGCTACTGGGCGTGAACATGAGCCTCTATGGGTCAATGGCTTAGTGTGAGATACAGTGGGGACATGAGTTATTTCAGAAGGCTGCTGGAGGGAAGGAAGAGAGAGGAGAGGAAGCATGGAAACAGGGAAGCAGCCTCCTTTCTCCTCCAAAATTCAAGCCTTGGGGCTGTCGGATATAGTAATCCATTTCAGGCTGGAAAATCTTAAATGGGATTTGTCCAGGACAGCAAGCACACTTGAGATTAAAAGGCAGAATAAATGTAAAGGAAATAACAGATAAAAGGTACTCTTCTCTCCAAGTGGATAACATCATGACATCATTCTCCTTTGCTGTTGCTACATGAAAATATGCAAGTATTTCTATTCTAGTGACAGGTCATTGCAAGAAGGGGTATGCACTCACCGACAATCCTTGAGCCGGAGGTGTACTTTAGATGAGGTTGATAATTTAACCTACTGGTATGCTCCTCGCTTAGTAACGACAGCGTGCTATCTGTGATGTGCTTCGTGGCTCTTGTATCTCTCAGTACGTTACATGGTCAAGTAGCACAGTTCTGCTTACCCTTCCATGATTGCCTAAAGATCTTACATTGCCTTCCAGTAAAGCACTCGCTCACAGCCTCATGTGGCATTAAAATGAATGGCAGCCGTGCTTCATATAGAAACAGGTTATTAAAACCAAGCTAGTCAAACATTTTCATCAGGAGGAAGAAATGTGGGCATGCCACCACTCCAGACAGAACTCCAACTGAAGGGGCTCCCTGCGGTGGAGGGGGGTTCATGCACATGATGAGGCAGACTGGAGAAAGAAGACTAGTTAATACAAACTAAATCTGCTTTTAATAATAAGTGCCTCTTCCCCTCCCTGAATACTATGCAGGCAAGCTCAAGAACGGCATAGAAATGGATAAGATAACGTCCCGTGGCAGCCAGGAGACTGTGGCCTGATCCTTAACAGAGCTCGCGAGGTGAAGTGCAGATATTGCAATTAACAGCAGGGTCTCGGATGTCAGCCCTTCTGGCACAGTGCTCTCAGGCTAGCTGATTTCTCATTACACACCGGCTGCAGGGCCCTATGGTTTCCCCAGTGACCCTTGAGCAAACCCTCCTCAGAGACCCCAAAGTTGAGTGTCCTCACTTGCAAACACCGCATTTTGTGTATGTATGGCAGGGATCACCCGTGCCAAAGCAGAAGGCTCCACCTGTCATCGTTGGGCAGTTTCAGCATCAAATTTATGGCAGAAATGTTGATGAACTGAAGAGAGTTGAACAAAGCATGGCCACACAGATGAAGCGGAGGTAGTAAGTGAAAGGGAGGACATCTGATAAAGGGCAAACACAGAAATACTGACTTCGGTGAGTAGAGGGCAGAGTAAGTATGTGTAGGGGGAACACATCAAGGAGTGGGGAAAAAACATTCTGAATGGAGGATATGGCATATACAGAGGAGAAATGGGTGAGACAGGAAAGCAAAGTTCATGCTCACTAGTGGGAAAAACAGAACTAGTCATGGCAAGAAAAATACGTTGAAGGATGAGATGAAACACTCATTGTTTTGAGACTTCTAGGTGAGAGCTGGCCAAACCCACACACGGGTACCGAACTACTGGCCTTGGGGAAAGGGCCAAGACATATATCTGATTTTTCTTGCAAAGTCAAAAAATAAATTCATGGGAATGATTATGCATTTTAACCAAAATAAGCCATGGGACAGTGCAGTAAAAATGCATAGATGCTGCTAATGCTGTTCTCCAGATATTTCTTGCATCCTTAGCTCTGTGATTGTCCCACTTTGGTCAGACATATCACTGCAGGAGTAAGCGGTATGGTGAGGAACTAGATACTTGGATTAGAAACCAGAAATACTCACAGATTTTGACCTCTGTGTTCCCATAGTTCTCACCAGATTTTAGGATTTAATAGTGGTGATGATTAAACATTGGTTTTCTTACAATCCAGAAACATTAATAAAAACTTTTAATTCCATCGGTATAGACACTGACTGTTCAGGGTACCAAAAAAGGTATATTTTAGTGCCCTGGCATGAAGGCACAAAGTGAACTAAAAGGCAGTGACAAGATAATTAGGCTTACTTACAATCACTGACTTCAGCTTGTCTGTGGCCATCTTGTTAAATAAGACAAACCTCAGGAAGCTGGGCATGAAATACATTTTTAACAGAGCTATATAGGACAGCCTGGCAAGAAATGGAACGGCAGGTGCTGCAAGTATGTAGCCTGGGTTCATATACTGTTGCAGGACTTTTGCTTGACAGCAGCAAGCTTCTTACAGCTCAAAACACAAGAAGGAGATGTGCAAGGTGGTTTACCAAAACTGTGCCATGTGAAAGCCCTGGGAGGCTCCATTACCCCAGTAACATCAAGCTGTGGGCTGCGCGGCTGCAGGAACATCTGCCAGCTCCAAAGGTGGAGAGGACAGATACAGGGCGAAGGATGAGGGCACTGAGAAAGACCCTCTCCTCTCCAAATATGGATGCGTGTAATCAACACCTACCCAAAGGCTACCACAGCATCCATGTGCAATGTGTTGGTGAGTGTCATGCCTACTGCATGCAGGCATCCACGTCCCAACACCTCCTGGCAGGTGAAGGCTAAAGAATAAATGGAAACTGGGAGTGAATGTACTGCTTATTCCTAGAAGAAATCCAGGAAGAAGAGAGCAGGGGCTGAGCTGCGTGGGCTTGCTGTCGGTCCCCACACCGTATCTCCTCTGCACAGGCAGGATGTCAGTATCCAGCCTGCTTCACCTCCATTCAGACAAGCCAAAAAATGACCGTCCCCCTTGCCATTGCTGATGCCAGTGCTGTCTTGGGTCAGGCTGGCACACGATGCTTTGGAAGAGATGGACCTGTTGAGTTCAAACACATGCCATGCTGTGTTCAACTCACTATCATAAAATACCACAGTGATTCGAGACAGGTACTACTGACCTAAAAATCTCCAGAGACCTCAGCTACTTTCAATACCTGCATCTATTGTTGGATATCTAAGCATCCTTGAGGTGTTTTTAAATAATCCATTGTCCTATTTGAGATCAAACAGGTTTCACTAATCTCTGGGGTGACCGTAACCAACACAACTCGCTATCAGATGTCTCAGTTGACTTAGCTCAGAGGGACACCTTAAGAATTCACAAATGAACACAAAAAGGCTCTGAGGCTGTCACGGGCACCCCAGCAGTGATCATATCAGCATTTATCTCAGCTCCGTTTTGTAAAAAGCACCTCAAGACTCCTTCTACTCCCTCTTTGTTTTAGAGAAATGTTGACTGTACTGCACTTGGCACAGCATCCAGTTCTTGAGGGATACTTTACACATACAGGTGATACTACGGTGCTTGTAGAGCTGGAGAAATTAAAGTATATTTCCAGTATTCCCACAGCCTGCTAGTGAAGATCAGGCGTCACATCAGTTCAGTTTCCCAGTCATTCTCCACCGGGATGCAATTTTTCAGGCTCCGTGTTATTTTACTTTACTTGCAAATAAGTTGACGTTATACATTTCCCAACAAAGACACACAGCAACTCCTCATTTCATCATGTATTTTAAGTCTTCAGCTCAACTAATTAACTTTGCTTACACCAAAACGTAAATACCATCTTTTAACTTCACTGGTGTCTTTCATGTATTTTTGTTAGGAAATCACAGTACATGTCCATTAGAACAATGGATGACGAACCCAGCTCCGGATGGTTTGGATGATTTTTTTCCAAGCACACATGGTTTTGACGCCTGCTAGACACTATAGCAAGCCCAGGGAATGATTTCTTAGCTCCTGTGGCACTTCTATTGTTTTGGTAAGGAAAAGGAATACCTCTTTACATAATGTATTCATTTTTGCAGTACGCTCTGAGTACAGGAAAACCTCATACTGTCAGTCAGTGGATTAAACGAAGAGCAGCCGCTGTAGCCATGTGATGGAAAAAGCCAGGCAATAGGGTTGTTTGCACCGCTGTATTACATAAACATGACTTTTGCCGGTTAACGCCCTCCCGCTGGGCGCTTCATGCTGCATCATATGCATGTCATGTTATGTTAGGCTGGACACAAACAGCAGCAAGGGAGTCAGACAGCAGCAGGGCTGGCTGCACAGGGGGGGCTACAGCCGTGGCTGTACTAGCTCCTCATGACCTGATCTAGGGAACCACAAGAACAGGGTCATAATAATTATAGCAAGCTATAGTAAGAAGAGCAGCTTATTTTAGCTTTCTGAATATGCTTAGGCCTTACTTGAATACCTTATAACTGTACTTCTATAATTTATTACTTGCTACTCCTATTGCTCTACCAGGCTCAATACTGAGATCATGACTTTTTTTAAATGAAGCATCTCATGTCACACTTTCAACACAACTAAGAAGTTTAGGATGGTGAAACAGTGGAACAGTTTGCCCAGAGAAGCTGTGGATGCCCCATCATTGGAAGTGTTCAAGGCCAGGTTGGATGGGGCTTTGAGCAACCTGAGCTAGTGGAAGGTGTCCCTGTCCATGCCAGGGGGGTTGGACTGGATGATCTTTAAAGGTCCCTTCCAACCCAAACCATTTTATGGTCCTATGATTTTATGATTCTATGATTCTAGGATGCAAAAGCAAGCCACCCCAAAGCAGCTTCTCCGCAATGGCTGTATGAGTGCTGTTTCTTTGGACACCTGAGTACAGCCAGACCGCAGGCTGCCCACAGCCACCCAGCACAGAGCAGGTGGCCCAGGCTGGCTGTCACCCTGCAGTGATGTCCTCATGAAGCTGAACACTAAACCTCATTTCCAAAAGCAGCCTAAACACTCAGGGTGCAAATCGCCACGGAAAGCAAGTAAGTTGCAATCTTCTGAGCATAACCCTAATTTTGGAAGGAAGTCTGCACCTCTGATGTTGGCTCATATGTTGGAAAGTTTGGCCTCTCGTCTTGCTCTTTATTCTGTAAAATGTTCGGTGAGCTTGAGGACATCATAAACTAATAAACACAGTCTTAATAATCTCCATGTCTCAGATTTCAGCCTCTGAAGCACATATGCCTTTGGACAGCACTGATAAATCCCAGTTAAGAATGACCACCACTTCCCACAAGGTAGCATTTTAACAAACTCATGAGTAATTATCCATGAACTGACCAGTGTTGTAAAACCACATGGACCAACACATGATGCCAGGATGAAGTTTCACTGCACTTTGTGATTTTTTGGATCTAAAATTACTAGTTGTCCATACCTAATAACCGCTTTCCTTTCTCCTCTATTTTGAACTCATCACTTCTAGCTGATAACTAGCTGTATTAATGAGTGACAATTGCCTTCAGTAAAGATCCAGATAATTGCCCCTCTGGTATAATATACCATGCACTCCTGCCAATCTGTTGTAAACTTAACTCCCCTCACCCCCAACTCATTTGCTTTCCGCAAAGGTATTAGAATACCTGTAGCAGAGAGATTTCTGTTGTAATATGGGTTTACTCTAACACCACGCATCCCTTACCGATCATCGGAGACTCTATAAAACTCCACGAATTAGTCTGAGGGATGTAGGACTGCAAGACCCCTGCAGCTCGGCCGGCTTCGTTCACCCCACCGAAGACGTAGATCTTCCCACCGCAAACGGTCGCAGCGGCCGAATGGACGGCCTTTGGCAGAGGAGCGATGGTCTCCCACTGGTTGGTTATCGTATCGTACCTAGGACGACAGCAACCAGAGTGAGCTGAGATGACGCAATGCTGGGTGAACAGTAAAGACGGGATAGACAGGCAGAGAAAGCAGGCTGGGATATAACAGAAAGGCAGCTTGACACGCAGAAGAAAAGCAGAGGTGGAAATGTATTTTCTAACATCCTACAAATTCAGCCACTTGGTAAACAGTGTAATTAATGCTTTTTCTAAGCTTTTAAAACATTGAGAAAAGCCCAGAGAAAGCTGGTTCTATTTTCTGTATATGGCTCTCAAATCTCATAGTCCAAGCTAAAGAAACTCTGGACATCTTTGTTGAGATGTCTTCCACTAATTAATTTCTATTAATGAGTATACAATGAGATTATTCTTGCAAATCAGTGCAGTGATATCCAATAGCAACCACAGGCAGGCAACTGTTAATATACTTCAGTTGTTCAGCTTGTGGAACACATCTTACCTGCACATAATGCAACACGATAGCTCTTTTTACTCTAGTTAACTGACCGGCGACGCGCATTTTGTGCAAGAATAAGTTGCTTCCATTTAATTGTCATTGTGCAAACCAAACCATTGTGCTTCGTTGCAAGAAGCTGTAAACGTTAATGCTGGAATACGATTTCACTATTGCATCCACATTTGACACGAAGCAAACAGAAAAGAGTATGTACGAAAGTGCTAAATTAGTTTTAAGGTCATCAGTATCTGATTTAATTAAGCCATTGACCATAAGGGATGTGCAGTTAATAATCCATCGATGAAGATTCATTTTAGACAATGTCACAAGTACAGATGTCAATTTTTTTTAAAGATAATGTGGCAGGGATCCAAATAGCTGCTCTAAAATGAGTCTTGGAGACAGTGGAAAATAATGTGATTTTTTTTAAGGTTCTATATTTCCATGTAATGGCACATTCAGTCAAATAGGAGTTTCCTGCATAGCGATCATTCAGAATTGTCGACTGCAAGAACAGAAGCCCTCATCACCCGTTCAGGGCTTTTGCTCTTAATATTAGTGATATGCAATATGCAAACATGAAATGAATCGATGGCCATGAACCCATCTGTAAAAAAAAAGATTTAGCGACAGGGTAATTCTCCCTTTGCAACATGTCCCTCAAATTCTCACTGCCCAAACTTGGGGAAAATAGAAGGGACAAAAGATATAAATGGTGGAAACAGCACAAAATAATGTGCTTAATGAAAATGCATTAATGAGTTTCCAAGTAATATAACCGAAAGTAATTAACACACTCATAAAAATGAAGCAAAAGCAAGAGGGAGGCAAACTTTAACTAAAAAAGATGAGGAAAGTCCCTTATAATGAGCATGGAGAACTGCCTTGTACAATGCTCTAAATTAGTTACTGAGAAATTAAATTCATCTACAACAAAGTGATCAAAGGGGAGAAATATAACAAGATTAAAAAACATGGCGCTGGGAGCATTCAAGGTGACACACCTACATCGGGCTGATTCTTAACGTCTGGTACCAAACGCGAGCCTGCAGATGCACGTTTGACTGCACGAGCAGCTCCTCCCGGTGAGACACCATATGCTGCAGCTCCTGCCTTTGCCCGCAGTGCTCAGCAGCACCCGCACCCATCCTAGCAGACACGCAAAAATGGTGCGTAATACAAAGTTTCACACGCTGCTTTTGGGTGACACTTTGCTAACTGTAGTAATTTGGGGCTTGGTAATTTAATGGTTGATGTCTTATTGTATAATAAAAGCTGGTTAAGAAATTGGTTATAATTGGCTAGAAACTGTGCGAAGACACAGAGCTGAAAAAAATTGACCTAAGGTGCCTTTCTAGTTCCTCAGCTTCTAAGATATAAATTATATCTGTCACCTGACACTTACTGTCTCACACCATCCACTGTGACCCAGCACCAGGAACATTTGTGGCCAAAGTGGTCTGAGATGGGATGGTGAGCAGCCGTGCTGCCTTCCCCGGCGCTGGCAGAAGTGCCCGGCCAACCATAGTTCCCAAGACTGATACGTCCCTGCCAATAGCTTTCTGATCCTCCTAATAAGTTTTTGGGAAGGAGGGGTTATATCCTTCACATATGCTGGGGGCTGGATGTGGTTGAGGACCACGTCTATGGGAATAATGGAGAAAGGTTCAAATTATAAAACCAATCGTCCTTCTGGATGAATTCCACTATTGGGACCTCAGGCCCCCTAGACCCCATTTTTCACCCACTTTCACTGCTCTCCGTTTATGCTCTACGCCAACAGAACTGATCTTTCTTTCTCCTACCCTCCTTCATCCGCCACTGGGAAACCAAAAATGACCAGTTTCACTTCATCTGCTGAAAGCCAAAGGCTGCAAACCCACTGCATATAGGTGCAAGTGGGGCAGCTTAAAAAACCACTTTTGTCTTGAGGGTCATTTGGTTTAAAAAATGAGTGAACCTGCAAGCCAGGCCTTGTCCACCTAACACAGGCATCTAATGTGGGTTTTACATAGGCTGCTCAGCGAAGCAATCCTCTTAAGTGTGTGCCTAACTTACTCCGGGAGCTGAAGAAGAGAAGTTGGTGCCTTCAAGGCTTCCTGATACCTGTCCACCAAGTCCCTCCGTCCCCCAGGAATTTACTCCTCTGGTTCATTCCCTCCTTGCAAAACTGTACACCTAATTTCTCGTCTCTGTTTTGCTTCAGTTCCCACCCACCAGAAAGTAAGGGATTTTTTTTCTGTTGGATTATAAAGCTGTCTGCTATCAAATCCCTCTCTTTCACGTATGGACTTGCAGAAAAGAATAAAGTCACCTCTTCACCTTCTATAGTAGTAGTCTAAGTAGTCTAAGCTTCTTAAGTCTCTGCAAGGCAGGTTTCCATCATTCTGGTCTATCTCAAGTCAGCTCTTAATGTGTTCACACAAGGATTTGCACCAGATTAACTAAATTGGTTTAAAAATCAGTAAAGGTGAATTTTTGTAACCTTCCAGGACAGGAACTAATGACACCTGCTTTACCTCTCTGCCCTAGGGCCTTTCCATCTGTCGCGTCATCTCTCGCATTGCCATCACTCCACTGCCACTAGTGCTAGTGGGGCTCCTCGGCTGCCTTTAACACCGGCTCTGCTCAAGGGCCAGCAGGGAGGGAACTGATTTAAAGAATAATCACTTTGATCTCCTTCCATTAGTCAAGCTTTGCATTTGATTCCCCTGTTTGAAGCTGTAGATGGAGACTTAATGGGAGCTGGCATCGAGCCAAGCAAAGGTTTTTTCTTTCCTCTCCTCCACTGCTCCCTCCAGTCCCGGTGTGTCCATGCCTGTCCTTGGCTATGGGCCTACCAAGCCCATTCAATTTACTGAACTTGAAACTCCAAGGATATCTCTTTTCACATGACTGACGCCTGGTTTTCAGTCCTTGCATGCTACGGACTCACGCGTGGTTTTACATGGATGCCCTTGCACGCCTTCCTCTGCCTCCAGGGAAGTCCCTGCAACCCCACAGCCCATGGCCCTGCCGTGCTCCGGACATCAGGCTTTCCACTCGTGCAGGACATGCGTGTCCCCGCCTGTCCCTTCATGTGCGCTGAGCACCGTCGTCGCACCTGACCCTTGTGCAGTCACTATCCTCTGGTTTATGTATTATTTATATACCCATGATACAGCAAATGATCTGAACCCAGCAGAAAATGCATCCCAGGCTTGAAGAGAGCACACGCAGAAATAACTGTGCTAGTTTTCACAACTCTCCACTTTTAGGATTTAATCTGTGGGCCTGATCCTCCTCCTGTTTCACTCATTTCGTTCAACGTCTCCTTTCTTGCTCTTTCC